TGTGATGATTTGCTGTTTTTATCTTTGTTTTTTATGGAAAAGTTTTTTATGATGTTGACTTGCTGTCTTTTTTATTTTTATTTGTTTGTTTTGATTTTTAATTAGATTAATTAAAATAAATAAATTAAACGTTTTTTCTTTGTTTCTATTATAGACAAATTATTGGTTTGTAAATATCCAGGATGCGTGCGCAGCGAGGTTGCAGAAAAAATCAGGAGTGCTAGCATTTACAGTGAGGGAATGACATCCGAAGCGGTACAGAGTTTGTTGTTGTATTAGAGATAGGATATATTGAATACATATTATATATATTTACATAATGCTTTCAGCGTATTATAACAGCTCGTCACCCAGTGATAAGCACAGTGATTCGGCGAAATTAACGTTAAAGTGAGCGGCGTTCGTCTGACAGGTATATTTGCGATAGCACCCTCCCAATGGATATTGGATAAGATGAACTGTTTTTTATTTTTGGAATTAAGATTTTGGCATCTTACCGCACAACCAGACTTTTTTTTTTGTTTGCTATTGCAACCGGTCTCTTTTTGCAACCGGTGTGCATGGTTGAACCCGTGTGATGTGGGTTGGTAATTCCCCTATAATATCCCTAACTATTTTATTGATTGATTCATACAGCTCATTTGAATTGTAATGAATTGAGAGAAACTAAAACTGATCTCAGAATCGGCATATTACTATCACATACATTAATTAAAATATTATTGGAAGGAATATTAAATCATTTATGCTCTTGTGCCACAAACCTTTACCTTTTTTTGGTTGTTGTTGATGAGCAACGGTTTTATTTACTAATTTGTGACAAGGACACTCATCAGTGTCGTAAAACATTACTTTGCTACAGCAATCTACATGTAAAAACATTTTTAGAGGCTAAATTCAAATTCAAATTTAATTCAATTAATCTTTATTTCTGTAGCCCGTTTACAATGTAGATTGTGTCAAAGCAGGTTAACACAGACGCTCTAGTAAACTGAAACAGTGTCAGTCCAGTTTTCAGAGTTGTAGTTCAGTTCAGTGTGGTTTCATTTTTTACTGCTCTAAGTCCAAACATTGAAGAGCAAACCCCTCGATGTGCAGCTCCACAAGTCCTAAACCAAGCAAACCAGTGGAGACAATGGAGGAACAAACTTCACCAGTTGACCAAAGTGAAGAAAGAATAAACCTTGAGAGAAACCAGGCTCAGTTGGGCATGACTATATCCCCTCTGGACAAAACGTCTTGTGCAGAACTGCATTCTAAATACCATCAAACTGCTCGTACTACATTAGAACTTTACAAATATTGTCAAAAGTATGAAAGAAGGTAATTCACATTCCTCAAGACATACACAGGAATAGAGGACGCCCTTATATGGTCCCCAATAGATGCTGTCTCACCTGGTGGTCATGTCTGGTACTGCAGCCAAACTAAATCTTGTTGTTTTTTTTAATTTTTGTTATGTTTGTTTGTTTGTTTTTTTGTTGTTGATGGTTATGATTTACTCTGTTGTTTATCTTAGTTTTGTTACTTGTGCTTACTTTGTTACTTGTACTTTGTTAATTAGTCTTAGTTCAGTAACAAAGGTTTTTTGTTTTTGATGATTTGCTGTGTTTTATCTTTGTTTGGTTATTTTGAAAAGTAGTTTGGTGGCGTGGTGGCACAGTGGGTAGTGCTATTGCCTCACAGCAAGAAGGTCGCTGTTTCAAGGTCAGTTGGCGTTTCTGTGTGGAGTTTGCATGTTCTCCCTGTGTTGGCGTGGGTTTCCTCCGGGTGCTCCGGTTTCCCCCACAGTCCAAACACATGCGCTATAGGGGAACTGATCAACTAAATTGGCCATAGTGTATGTGTGTGAATGGCAAGGGCTGGAACAGCATCCGCTGCAATATGCTGGAATAGTTGGCGGTTCATTTTGCTGTGTCGACATCTGATTAATAAAGGGGCCAAGCCGAAAAAGAAAATGAATGAATGAATGAATGAATAAATGAATGAATGAATGTAAAGTAGTTTTTTAAAGTAAATGTTTTTGTTTTTTTGATGATGTTGATGATTTATTTTGGTTTTTATCTGTTTTTTTTTTGAGTGAAAGTTTTCATTTTTTCATGTTGTTGATGATTGTTTTGGTTTTTATGTGTTTTTTTGAGTGAAAGTTTTCATTTTTTTGATGTTGTTGTTGATTGTTTTGGTTTTTATCTGTTTTTTAAGTGAAAGTTTTTGTTTTTTTGATGATGATATTGATTGGTTTGGTTTTTATGTTTTTTTTGTCAAAGTTTTAGTTTTTTTGATGATGTTGATGATTTATTTTGGTTTTTATCTGTTTTTTTGAGTGAAAGTTTTCATTTTTTTGATGTTGTTGTTGATTGTTTTGGTTTTTATCTGTTTTTTTGAGAGAAAGTTTTCATTTTTTTGATGTTGTTGTTGATTGTTTTGGTTTTTATCTGTTTTTTTAAGTTAAAGTTTTCGTTTTTTGATGTTGTTGATGATTTATTTTGGTTTTTATCTGTTTTTTTAAGTTAAAGTTTTCGTTTTTTGATGTTGTTGATGATTGTTTTGGTTTTTATCTGTTTTTTTAAGTTAAAGTTTTCGTTTTTTGATGTTGTTGTTGATTGTTTTGGTTTTTATCTGTTTTTTTGAGAGAAAGTTTTCATTTTTTTGATGTTGTTGTTGATTGTTTTGGTTTTTATCTGTTTTTTTAAGTTAAAGTTTTCGTTTTTTGATGTTGTTGATGATTGTTTTGGTTTTTATCTGTTTTTTTAAGTTAAAGTTTTAGTTTTTTGATGTTGTTGATGATTGTTTTGGTTTTTATCTGTTTTTTTAAGTTAAAGTTTTCGTTTTTTTGATGTTGTTGTTGATTGTTTTGGTTTTTATCTGTTTTTTTAAGTTAAAGTTTTCGTTTTTTGATGTTGTTGATGATTTATTTTGGTTTTTATCTGTTTTTTTGAGTGAAAGTTTTCATTTTTTTGATGTTGTTGTTGATTGTTTTGGTTTTTATCTGTTTTTTTAAGTTAAAGTTTTCGTTTTTTGATGTTGTTGATGATTGTTTTGGTTTTTATCTGTTTTTTTAAGTTAAAGTTTTCGTTTTTTGATGTTGTTGATGATTGTTTTGGTTTTTATCTGTTTTTTTAAGTTAAAGTTTTCGTTTTTTGATGTTGTTGACGATTGTTTTGGTTTTTATCTCTTTTTTTTTGAGTAAACGTTTTTTCGTTTTTTGATAATGATGCTGATTTGCTGTTACCGGTGTCTGGGCTGCTGGACAGTGGCGATGGCGGCCGGTACGGCGGTGAGGCTGTGTGTTCTTGCGTCTGCGAGTGTGTGTGCAGCTCCTCCAGACAGCGCGCCAGCCGTGTGTGTCCTCGTGAGTAAGCCACAGCCAGAGGGAGACGGCCCAGAGAGTCCGGGATGCCCAGAGCGGCGCTACTCCAGCGGTACAACAACACAGCAGCCGCCTGATGACCCAGAGCACAGGCCCACATCTGAAACACAACACACACAATACTTTGACTCCATAAAAACATGATCATTACACTTATGTGAAAAACTGGGACTTTTGCGCACGCATTTATGTGTGTCTCTTTAAATGCAAATGAGTTTCAGCTGCTTTCCAGAAGAGGGCGGAGCTTTTGCATAATATTCTGACACTCAGGATGAAAAGTAAATCTTTCGCAGCCAATAATGCTAGATTTGAGAATTACATGTGTAAGCCATAGTCAGGCACTAGCTGTGTTTTCATCCAGACATGCAAATCAAACTTATGAGCAAAACTGGAATTTTTGTTTATGTGTGAATTTTTGTGTGAACCTTTAAATGCAAATGAGCTACTTTCCAGAAGAGGGTGCACCCTTTTCACACTATTCTGGCACTCCAGAAACAACTAAAGCAAATCTTTCGTGGCCGATAATGTTTGTAAATAATTAAAAAAGTAAATAATTAAAGCTTTACATGTTCCAATCAGAGTCAGACACTAGCTGTGCTTCCGTCCAGAAACACAAATCAAACTTATGAGCAAAACTGTAATATGGCATAAAACATTTGTGAATAAAGCAGCGAACAATGTGTGCAGCGTACCAGAGGAGTGCAGGAGAAATGATCCACATTCAGAGGATCCACTTCCTGCTCCAGATCCAGACTGTTCACACTGATACTCCTGACACACACACACACACGCGCACACACACACACACACACACACACACAACACAGAATGGGGTTATTAGTCTCACATGCTGTCACTGTTCACTGTTACATTTCAGTGTTTCACTGTTTAAACAGTTTATACAATACAAGTGTGTGTGTGTACCTCCAGTGTATGAGTGTGTATGTGTGTGTGTGTGTGTGTATGTACCTCCAGCATATAAGTGTGAGTACATCCAGCATATGAGTGTTTGTGTGTGTTTGTACCTCCAGTATGTGTGTGTGTGTGTGTGTGTGTGTGCACCTCCAGCATATGAGTGTGAGTACATCCAGCATATGAGTGTGTGTGTGTGGGTTTGTATCTCCAGTGTATGAGTGTATATGAGTATGTGTGTATACCTCCAGTGTATGAGTATGTGTATACAAGTTGTGTGTGTGTATATATATATATATATTTATATATATATATATGTGTGTGTGTGTGTGTGTGTGTGTGTGTGTGTGTGTGTGTGTGTGTGTGCGCGTGTACCTTCAGCTTATGAGCGTGAGTGTGTGAGTGCATGTGTAGCTTTAGTTTATGAGTGTGTATACGAGTTGTGTGTATATAACCGTGTGTGGGTGTATACCTCCATGAGTGTGTACATATGTGTGTGTACTTCCAGCCTATGTGTGTTTATGTGTCTACCTCCAGCGTATGAGTGTGTATATGAGCTGTGTGTGTGTGTGTGTGTGTGTGTGTGTATACCTCCAGTCTGAGTGTGCATGTGTGTATACTTCCAGCATGAGTGTTTGTGTCTACCTCAAGTGTACATGCAAGTGTGTGTACCTCTTGTGTGTGTGTGTGTGTGTGTGTGTGCATGTACCTCTAGCGTATGTGTGTGTATGTGTGTGTGTGCGTCTACCTCCAGCGTAAGAGTGTGTATGAGTTACGTGTATATGAGTGTGTACCTCCAGCGTATGAGTGTGTATGAGTTTGTGTGTGTGTGTGTGTGTTTGTTTACCTCCAGCGGATGAGTGTGTGTATGAGTTGTGTGTATCCCTGAGCAGCAGCAAGGTGCAGTAGGGTCATTCCTCTGTGTCTGGCGGAGTGTGTGAGTGTGTCTGTCTCTCCGTCTCGTTCCCACCGGCCGCCTGCCATCATCCGCTCACACACCGCCACAATCCTGCGCTCGAACCACAGCCCCGACTGACACACACGCACACGCACACACACAAAGCTATTTTGAAGAAAGCTGAAAATCTGTAATCTGACATCCATATTGTATTTGATTTCCCACTATGAAGGTCAATAATTACATGTTTTCAGTTCTCTTTAAAATATCTTATTTCGTGTTTAACAGAAGAAAGAAACTTAAAGGTTTGGAACCACTAAACAGTGAGTA